TCAGGGGGAAATGAGGGTGGAAAGCATGGTAATTTGAAAATACTACAGAGCTTAATGCTATTGCTAAATCCTGAAGTATCCCTTTAAATCAAGACTTGATTAAGATTTAAAGTCTTGTTTTCTGAAAGAATTTTTTTTTTTGATCAACGTACCAAGAAAAAATATCTGCTATGGGGGTCAGATCAAATAAAATTAATTCAAAGGGAAAACAGATTATCTTCTTGTTTTAAGAAAAAAACTCTTAAATTGATACATCTTATATAATTTTCCTTCTCATTTACCTTGATTTAAGAATGTTTACATATTTGTACTGGAAAAAAAGACAAACACACCAAGTAAGGAAATAATATTTTGCAGTGAAGGGCGATTTTTGGGCCCAAGTTCAATATTTAGGGATAAGGTTTGTTCAAATCACTAACTTTATATACTGTAAAACATATTTTTCAAAGTTGTAAATAAAATAAAGATTTTTGGAGTATGTTTTACAAGAACATAACTATTTAAGTCTTTCTGCTGTGAAACGATTGATGGTGATTAATCGCATCCAAAATAAATGTTTGTGTTTACATAATTTATGTGGGTGCACACGCATGTGTATTTAAGAAAAAAATATTATTTATATATAAAATATTAATATACAATAAAAATGATATATAAATCTATATACAATACATATTTCATAAATATATATAAGCATGTGTGAGTATTTATAAAATATTTATACACAGTGCACCCACATTATGTAAACACACTTTTATTTTGGATGCGATTAATCGTTTGACAGCCCTACTTTATACTTCAAAAATGTCATGTTTAGTTATAAGCAGATTCTTTCTAATTATTTACTAGCCATTTCTGAGTGATTTTTTTAATACTTGTAGATCCTACCACCATTTTTTTCACACTGTATTAGCAATACCCATCATATATGTAAGCTTGTTTCCAAAGAAAAAAACATTTTAAAAGATACCTACAAATTTCAATATCACAATTGCGAGTACATTGCGCAATTCTGACTTCATTTCTCAGAATTGCAAGATAGAAAGTCAGAATTGTGAGATATAAAGTCAGAATTGGGAAATATAAACTCTTTCTCAATGAAAACCCCTAAATATATTCGAAAAAAAGTCAGTCATTAATCACAAAACAGTCCCTTTCAGTCAGTGTGATACGAGATTCACTACCATACAATACTCACACATTTATCAACAACAACTCTATGAAAGCATCAAAATGTATTTATATCATTTTTATTTGAATGAAGTCTTATGCTCTCAATGGGGTCCAAAAAAACCTCTTGGTAATTTGCTTGATCCTACAAGCCCAAATGTCACAGAATAACAACTGGACATGATCTGCATTTGTAAACTAAAAGCAATGAAGTGCTGAAAGGTTTTCCATGCTGAGAGAACTCCGAGTCAAGCTGGGGTCTTACACTCTTAACACTGCAATCAGCCCTCATCAGTGTTAGATCTCTGCCAGGGGAAGCATATGTGCATCCAGAGAGTGTGAGCGGGCGCTGCCGACGGGGAACACATTTTCTGCCTGCGCTTGCCAGCTTCTGATCACCCCTGAGCCCGACAGATGATCTTAACCGGCGTGACAGTCAACTAATTGTCTTATTCAGGCCTGGAGACACTGACTGCATTTCTGTCGCCCTGCTGAAGAAGCAAAGCATCAACAACAATCTATTCTTACTACTGGACACTCCCAGTAAACAGGTCACAGCCAGTGCTCGAATTGAGGGGGGGCTGGGGGGATCCGGGACCCCCCATAAGGTATTAGGGACCTCCCATAAGAAGTAAAAAAATAGAATTAGGGGGGTCCCTCAGATATTTTTATTTTAGTAAAAAATAATAATAACAAATCTGTGCGCAATGATATCGTTGACTGACAGGACTGTTTGATTGGCGCCGCTCTGTTGAAGCTAATTTTAACTTTTAAAAAATGAAAAAGATAAACCTCCACTCGAGGTCGGGAAGAGAAAGCTTCTTACCGACTTTTTTGAGGGGTAATTGTCTCTCTTTATATATAAAGATTCCAATTTACGCAAGGAATACAGAAGCCCCGATATGGTGTGGATAGATATAATGTAGAAAGATATATCTTTCTACATTATATCTATCCACACCATATCGGGGCTTCTGTATTCCTTGCGTAAATTGGAAACATTTAGGCTTAAGTTACTTTTTTTCCACCATTATTAATAGCCCTGGTTCTACGGGAGTGCTAGAGATCTCGACGGAGATGGATAACAGTTTTTCAGCAAAGGGAACGATCGTTGTGTGCTTTCTAATTTCCATTCAGAATTTGTATAAAACTTGTTTTTTATGCTGCCAGGATCGGCCACGTAAACACAAAGTTTTGGGTTTCAAAGTTCACTTTCAAAGTTCACTCTTAAAATAGCAATAATTGACATCGATTGGCATGGCATTGTTTGTTTCTGAATAAAGCTGCCTTTTTCGCTAGTCATGGTCGTTGAATAGTTGCTGACCTACTGAGTGCTTTTCCGCCACCTACTGGACGTAACTATGTAAAAATCGCATGTGCTGAAATAGTTGAAAAATCCCCACCATATAATATCTAATAAACAAGTTTTATCTATTTAATCAAGTCTTTTGAAACCAACATTATTACCACAGTGTCACATAATCCACATTAATCATGCAGTTGTTTTTAGGTTAAAAACAACATTTGTAAATAAATCATTTTGTTGGATGTACAAAACTGTTCAAAAGACTCTTCTGCTCACCAAGCCTGCATTGATTTGATGCAAAATACAGTAATTTTATGAAATATTATTACAGTTTAAAATAATAATATAATAAAATATTGTTTATTTCTGTGATCAAAGCTGAAAACCATCATTTCTCCAGTGTTCATCAGGATCCTTTAGATCTGAAATATAAAACTTTTTGTAGCATTATACACTACCATTTAAAAGCTTGCGGTCAGTAAGAATGTATTTTAAAAAAAATGTTGGGAAATAAATTAATACTTTTATTCAGTATGGTCGCATTAAATTGATCAAAAGTGACAGTAAAGAAGTTTATAATGTAACAAAAGATTCTATTTCAAATAGAAACTGTTGTTTTGAACTTTCTATACCTAAAAAATCCTGAAAAATAAAATAAATGTTTATTACATAAATGTTTGTTGATCATCATGTTACTATTAGAATGACGAATCATGTGACACTGAAGACTGGAGTAATGATGCTGAAAATTTGTGAAAATTCTGCTGCCCTCTAAATCCAAACCTTTAGTAAGTAATTTTAAATAATAATTATATATATAGCCTAATATAATTATTTTTCAAGCGGTTTTAATAAATAGTATACATTTATGCATATTATGTATAAATATATGCTATTTATATCCCAAACACCCCCCCCCCCTCCCCCCAGGAAAAAAATTGGGGACCCCCCATAAGACTTGACTCAATTCGAACACTGGTCACAGCGCTGTATGAAACTAATCACAGGCATTTATAGATATACTGAACATAACAGCATGAATTATTTGAAAAAGCTGTAATCTGACAACGTCTTTGTCTAATCCATTACCTACCTTAAAAACTGAAACAAATGTACTGGTTAAACCATAAAGTCATCATTAAACAAACTGAAGCCTATTTATAAAGCACATTTCTACCCATAAAATCCCCACAATAATTTAATACTCATTTTATTCCAAAAAAATAAAAATGTATCACTACAATTGTAAAGTATTTTGATAGTATCATTTCACTGTATTTATCTGATTGTACTTTAAAATTATAATATAGAGTAAGAAACATAGGTAACAAATATGATAACTTACTGTAACATGAGCAATACATACAGTATCTATTAATCTTTGTTAATGTTAGTCAATAAAAATGCAGTTGTTCATAGTTTCTTCATGTTAGCCTACTTCAGTGAATTAACTTATGTTAACAAAACACAACATTTGATTTTAATAATGTATTTAGATTAATAATTATTGTACAAGTATTGTTCATTCTAGTTAACTTATGTAAAATGAAACCTTATTGTAAAGTGTTACCGAAAGATTTGAAGAGAAATGAGAATAATGACAATGTGCGAGTAAATTGAGGTCATTTTTCTTGAAAATATCACACTGCAAAACTAAAATACATTTATATTTATGCAAATCATATTTTTTTTATAAATCAGTATAAAGTTGTTTTAAGAGAATAACAAAGAACAAATATCCTTCCCTTCTCATGCTGTCTTGATGACATGTTAAAGTTTTATTCTGCATTTAAAAGCATCTGAATATGAATATTAGAGACGCCCAGCCTCTCATAAACTCACAGCTCTCATGGATCTCCACTGACCCCGCATCAGGCTAATGCAAACCCTTCACCAGAAGACATACAGGCTTCTCAATCAGCATCAAATGTGACCTTGGAAAGTAAAATATTAACAACATCCTGAAGACATGCCTGCTATACAACCAGACTGAACGTACAAGCAACATCATACTGTATACATGATCAAGCCCAAACGGGATGCAGCAGCAACAACAACCCGACCGGATCGAGGTTTGTTTTCCTAGCAGAGGTCATTCAAGTAAATTAATTACAAGCTCTATCGATTCCACACTCTCAGGCCCGAAGTGAGCCCGTCATTCTGCTGAAATGAACTGTTTGCCATCGTTACACAGATGGTTAGAGGACACAGAACGAGCCATAAAGCAAGAGAAAGAAAAACATTAGTGTTTCAACCGAGCACTGCCTCTTGAGATGGTGCTGAAAGGCATCATCTGATGCATCTGGGTTGATGTGTGTGTTCAATGTGGAGTGTGTGCACAGTGATGTGATGTCATGCACCAGTCAAAACAACCATAAACCATCCTGTGCATATGATCAAAACAAGCAGGTTATCCCTGTATGTGTGGATCATCTCATTCTTCTGGGTGTGTGTGTGTGCATCATCCTAAAAGCATTTCAGTGGACGTTCTATCATCATCCACATCATCACGTCAGCGTCTTACCTCCACACTTGTCCCATCTGAAGGATGTGCACACAGGCATGCCATATCCATATGGAGATCACACAGCACCTGTCCCTGCCGTAGATGCGCGAGCTGAGATCGGCCGTGGCTTTTCTGCTGAGCCCCTCCGCGCCCGCGAGCCCACCGCCCGTGCAGTCCTGGACGAACCACCTGAAGCTCAGAATCTGGACCAGCACCGACGGCACCAGCACGAAGAACAGGGTGAGCCCGAACCACAGATAGTCCCGTTTGGAGTAGTAGTCCATAGCCAGCCACAAGTCCGTCCCGACGTCCCAGAAGAAGACGAGCAGCGCGAGGATGATCCAGAGGCAGTCCAGCCACAGGCGCTCCTCCGGCGGCTGCTGATGCGTCGGCCGCCCGCGCTCTCCAGCGTCGCGTTCGCCCAAAAGCGTCTGGAGACACGCGCTCCTGCAGCCCCAGTAACATGACGAGGTGTTGCAGCAGTGGCAGATGTGTATGGCCGAGCTGTCCAGCCCATCGTCGTCGCCGAGCGCCTCGTCCAGGTTGTGCAGCTGCGCGAAACCGGTAACGACCCCCGCGCCATCGGATTTTGCTGCCATCTTGCTCTCTGAAACGCTTCATCCCAAACCCCCTCCTCTCTTCCCGTGCTCCGTGACGCCACTTCCGTGATACCTGTGTGTGTGCGTGTGCGTGTGCGCGCGCGCGCGTGTGTGTGTGTGTGTGTGTGTGTGTGTGTGTGTGTGTGTGTGTGTGTGTGTGTGTGTGTGTGTGTGTGTGTGTGTGTGTGTGTGTGTGTGTGTGTGTGTGTGTGTGTGTGTGCGTGTGCGTGATTTCTATCCCGTTGGGAAATCAACTTGGATGCACACTGACTCATGGGGACTGAGGTCACTGTGGGGAACAAAATTGAGGTCCTCATGACGAAACAAGCTTATTAATCATACACAACGCTTTTTTCCTTTATTTATTTATTTATTTATTGTTTTTTAAATGTTAAAATGCAGTAAGTTTCCTGTGATGGGTATGGTTCAGGGAAAGGGTTAGTGCAAGGGAGAGAATAGGCTATACAGTTTATACAGTATAAAAAACATTACGTCTGGAGAGCCCAGACTCCCCAAAAATATGGCAATATCCAAAATCTTTTTTTCTTGTGGGGACATTTTTTTATGTAAAAACCAATATAAACAGTATAAAAACCATTACAGTATGTACTAAATCCCCATAAAACATGAAAACACAATGTGTGTGACTCATGAATAAATTACCAATTGAACGTCTGGGCACATATTTTGTTTTGTCCATTTTCACATTTTGCAATTGGAAATATGTAGTCATGAAGTGACATTTTTAATTACTACATCATTCTTCATATGTAAATTATGTAGGGACTTTATAATATAGATAATGATTTTAAGACAATTTCAAATACCATATAGTGTTGCCATTTCTTTAGGTGAGTTATGAATTTCTGTATACAAACATTTAAGCATCTTATACTAACTAACTAACTAACTAACTAATTAAATAAATATTGTTTCCATATATTAATATTCAATATAAAATAAATTAAGTTTGTTTCCGCCACTATTCCACCAGAAAAAAATATAGTTTATTTGTCACAATAGCCTAAATATTTTTCAAGGTGGGTTAATTTTTTTTAAATAAATAAATAAATGAAACCCCATACTGTTAATTTAACATGTTGACCTTTTCTGTCATTGGAAACATGCCATTAAACTACCTGTTATTGGGTTTTCTGCTAAATTTAATCAGTAAAACAAGTATGAAACACAAAGCAATCATTTTATTTTCATCTTAAGACAGATCCTAACATACACATTTTGGACAGCATATTTTACACTTCCTGTGCATTTGTATTAATGCTCTTTAAACCATCATTATAAATGATTGCTCTCATACAGTATTTAAAAGGATAGTTCACCCCAAAATAAAAATGCGGTCATCATTCACTCACCCCATGTTGTTCCAAACCGGTATACATTTCTTTCTTCTGTTGAACACACACAAAAAAGATATTTTGAAGAATGTTGGGAACCAGACGGACCCCATTGACTTCCACAGTATTTTTTTTCAGTCAAAGGAGCCCATCAGCTGTTTGGTTACCCACACTCTAAAAAATGCTGGGTTGTTTTAACCCAATTTTGGGTCAAATATGGACAAACCCGAAATGTTGGGTTAAAAATGTAATGTAAAAATTTAACCCAACGGCTGGGTTAGTCCATATTTGACCCAAAGTTGGTTTAAAACAACCCAGCATTTTTTAGAGTGCATTTTCTTCAAAAATATCATCTTTTGTCTTGTCAAAAGAAAGAAATTTATACATGTTTGGAACAATTTTTGGGTGAATATCCTTTTAAACCAGTTAAACCAACCCGATAAAGTGGCTAATTCGTAACAATTCATACGTCCTCACTCGTAAATTAATACGATTTTGCTAAATCGTACATAGGGCCATTTTACGAATTGGCCAATTCGTATGACCTACCCCTTACCCCGCCCCTAAACCTAACCATCACGTGGGTTTAGACAAATCGTACGAATTAGTACGAGTGAGGTCGTACGAATTAGTACGAATTAGACACTTTTTAATTATGCGTCGAATTCGTACGAATTGGTCGTGAGATAGTGTTGGTTAAACAGAACACTGATAAAAAAAACCAGCCTCCTTGAACACAATCCATGAGCTATAAAATCCACTGCTGTTGCTTTCAGCACATGGGGAATTTCCTAGATTAGCACAGCACATGCAAAACCCTCTGCCGCAGGAATATGACAAAAGCCCCCGTCTTTAGTTCCTTCCCAATGGAGAGAGTCCAAATCTTCAAACAGACACTGCGCCGCATCTGACAGAGATACTGGGCGGCTTAACCGCTCTCCACTAATTAAACTGTCATGATAACATGAGAGCAGTAAATGTGGAAACCTCATTTTCAGTTACAGGAAGAAATACCAAAACGTGTGATGCATGACTATTCAACTCTCTAATGAATTATTAAACCACACACACAAAAATATATATAGATATATTAACAGAACAAATGTTTATTAAAAAGTCAGAAATACTGTATAACCATTTCAATCTTGAGATGTTGTGGTGAATATTTTTTTTAAATAAATGTTAAATACATTTTGAGTGAAAAGACTTAACTGGCATGATCACAATAATAATTATAACGATTTTTTCCAGTTCATTTATCACATTGAAAATGGAAGGTCAAGTCAAGAGCATTGGATTGTGAAATATCAACGCATTCTCATCCCAAGGCGTCATACAGTATACAACGCTTTTGCCAAAGTAGACATCCAACGCACATGGCACCCTTTAGCGTCAATATTACACGCTTCGGTTAAAGGGATCACTTTGAAATACATTTTTGATATGTTTTAGCTTACCTCAAGTGCCTCGGTGTCTTTGTTTCCACAGTATTTTCAATTTTGACATTTTTCAGTCAAACCGGTGTTGTCTGTCAGTCATACGCTGGAGGCTATAAGGGGGTCCACCAAAAAGCATGCACAGAGAAGTAAAAATTAAACATGATTTAATGACTCGTAAATGTAAGTACACATTGATGGCCTAAGATGAAACGAGCGGTTTATGTGAGAAAACGAACAGTAATATCGTTTTTACCTCGTAACAAGGGTAGGTTTAAGTCTGGTGGAGTAGTGTTAGAGTTAGACCACTAGAAGGCGCCTTCTGCCCCATATGTACCATGTGCGTTGGATGTCTACGCTTTGGCAAAAGCGTTGTATATGACGCCTTGGGATGTCGACACCATGTTTTCAAAATGCTGCAAAGGAATAAATGCAAATGTAAAACAGAAAAGAGTTTAGAAAAGATTAGAACTAGTTTAGACGAGAAATGATCCAGTGTCCAGCGTTCTGCCTGACTTCAAACTAAATATGATTTGAAAGAACTGCATGTTTCAGCAGTGCTAGAGTTCTCTGCAGTGGGTTTGAACCAAACAGAAAGCTACTAAACGCAGAAGCACAAGGGCATGCCATTTTTATGAAAGCTAATGTGACTGTGGCAGTGAATACTACAAGTGAGATAATTGCCTGCAGATCTCTTGAGTTCTGGCATGCTTTCATGTGCTGCTATATTGAAGCAGACGATAAATATATATTTCTTGCTACTCCATGAAAGACAAATTATTGATTCAATTTGCACAAGACATTTGCTTCACTCTAAAAAATAAAGGCTGGGTTGTTTCAACCTAACTTTTGGTCAAACATGGACAAACCCAGCCGTTGAGTTAAATTTTAAAATTGTTTTTTTTAACCCAATGTTTGTGTTTGTCCATATTTGAACCCAAAAATTGAGTTAAAACAACCCAGCATTTTATAGAGTGAAGACTGACACATATGGAATAAGGCTGGAAACACTGATTATTGAGACAGAGACTAAACTTGTCCCGTAATTTCATCTGGCATTTTTAAAAAAAGAAAAAAAAAAAGAAACATTTTTACTTATTGGAAATGAACATGCAAGTTGTGATAGTTTTTTTCTTCCCTATTGTGAAGTATATCCGATTGAAATGGCTTCTGGAACAAGAACAAATGTAACTAACCATGAGCAATACATTTGTTACTGTATTTATTCATCTTTGTTAAAAATGTAAAAAAAAAAACAGTGCATTAACTAATGTTAACAAGATTTTAATAAAGCATTAGTAAATGTTGAAATTAACATTAACAAAGATTAATACATGCTGTACACATGCAGTTCATAATTAGTTAATGTTAAAGGAACACTCCGACTTTTTGGGACTTTAGCCTATTCACCATACCCCCCAGAGTTAGATAAGTCCATACATACCTTTTTCATCTTCGTGCATGCTATAAGTCTGTTTGACGCACCCACCGCTAGCCTAGCTTAGCACAAAGACTCGATGTGAATGGTTGCAGCTTTCATACTAATCCAAATAAGTGGCAAAATAACGCAAACGTTTTCCTATTTACATGTTGTGATTTGTATAGTCACAGAATGTACAAATAACAAAGTCAAATGAGACACAGACATCTTTTAACCGTATAAAACCTGGGAACTATTCTCTGAAGGCGAAGCACTGCTACTTTGACGGAGTGATAACCGCATCACCGGAGACACGCCGTGGTGAGGAGCGGAGAGTTCGCTCAGTGTTTGGGTAATAGAGTCAGCAATTTATAAATAGTAAAAGCGTAGTTTACAGTTCGCTCTATTGTAAATAGCTGCGACAGTAAACCGGGGAGGTAATACCATGTTTCACAGAATTCCAACTAAAAACGCTGACTGGATGAAGAAATGGCTAACTTACTCTGGAGATTGATCCAAACACACCTAAATAGATTATCAAGAGACATTATGTTTGCTCGGTACATTTCAATGGACGACTATTTTGAAAAAATGGAATTTGCCACACGGACCAAAATAGTTTTTCAAAATAGTCGTCCATTGAAATGTACCGAGCAAACATAATGTCTCTTGATAATCTATTTAGGTGTGTTTGGATAAATATCCAGAGTAAGTTAGCCATTTCTTCATCCAGTCAGCGTTTTTAGTTGGAATTCTGTGAAACATGGTATTACCTCCCCGGTTTACTGTCGCAGCTATTTACAATAGAGCGAACTGTAAACTACGCTTTTACTATTTATAAATTGCTGACTCTATTACCCAAACACTGAGCGAACTCTCCGCTCCTCACCACGGCGTGTCTCAGG